AGGAAAAGGAGGATTGGAGGTCCGGGACTTTGCCCACTGGGCAACCTGGAGGGCTGGTGCTTGAACTCAGGACCGCCTGATTTCAGGAATGAAGCTTCTGGATCATTTGCAACTCTGCCACCTCGTGGCCATCTGGCCTTGGGCACATTACTTCATCTGCCCACTTCAGTTTGCTTATGTTAAAATGGAGATAATATCTACTTCATAGAGTTGCTGTGGAATTAAGGGAGATAATAAATGTAAAGTGCTGAGAGAAGGACCTGGACCATAGAAGGATCACATTCATGGTAGCTGCTGTTATAGATGTTTTGTTATACAACTAAAACATCTAGTGGTGGGAAGTAGAATAGTGGTGGCTTCAGGTCCACCTTAACTCAGACTAAAGTGATGGCTACAGCCCCCAAGTCTCCCCTATTTCAGCCCCTTTCATAAATGGTTCTTCCCTCATGGTCACAAGATGGCTGCAGTGATTCCATCCCTCCCATCCTCTCAGACTCAGGGTAAGAGGGAGAAGCACAGCCTTCAGCCCTAGGACTCTTGGCAGTGATTTCACTGGTTCTGATCTGGTTACATGGTTAGTTCCTGAGCTCAAGAAGGAGCAGCTCCTCCTCTAGCCCACTGGGTGGGAGTCAGAGAAGGCAGGTTCCCACAGGGAAATCTGGGCTGTTTTTGGAAAAAAGAGTCATAGAGGCCAGGGAAGCAAACCACAAGTGTCTACCACTGGAAGGCTTGTGTTTTTTCCTTCTACTCTGCCATGGGAGGTTCTGGCAGACATCATGGCTCCTTCACAGAAGAGCAAGGCCCTTCAGAGCCAGAACACTGTGGCTGTGACACTCGCCTGCATGTCTGCTGTTCCAGCCTCTAGGCTTTGGGGGCCTGATAAGGGAGCACCCTCTCAGCTCAGACTTCCCCAGCTTCTTTACAAGTGACAGTCTGGGAGCATTTACACAGATACACTATTGGGTGCCTGCTCCTCTAACAGACCCTGACGTTTTTAGGGAGCCAGTGTGGCCAGCTAAGTCCTCACCAGCCTAAGGGCAATCGGGATAATCCCAGATTCTCAGCCTTCCCAGCTTTCCTTGCACCTGGAATGGCCATATGTGACCACATTCTGGCCAATTAGGCATCAAAGAAAGTCTGTTGAGGTGTAGGGGGAATGTTCTGGCAAACATCCTCCTTCCTGACTAGGGTCAGATGGGTAAGAAGTAAGAACAGTCGTACGTCACCCCTTTCCCCCCCCCGCCCCCCCGGCCCGTGGTTCAGTGCGGCTGTGGCTGCCAGCTCGCTCCTCTGAGGCCAAAAGCCAAAGGTGTAAGCTAGCAGCTCACTGAGAGACGCAGAGGAGGATGGGGTGGGGGCAGAGAAAGCTCCTGACATCATTCCTGTGTACCAAGAGTGGAGGCACCATATCTGGTGGCCTCCTTGTGACACAGGATAATGAGAGGTCTTCACTGCCCGAGCTACCAGCAGATGGGACTCCGTTGCCTGCAGCCACAGGCCTCCCACCTGACTCTCCCACCGCCCCTCGCTTCTTGTGCTGCCACCCCCCGTGTTTCCCCGTCCACCATCCCCAGCTGCCTTCCTTGTCCGCGGCACTGTGCATGAGTCCGGGTCCTCTGGTGCCAGCAGCAGAAGCCACGCTTGACAGTCTTGGGCAGAAGAAGAATTTATCGGGCTGACCGATCACCAGGAGGCCGGAGGAGCAGGCGTAGAGAAGAGGCAGGAGCCAAGGAACACTGGCGAGAAGACACTTGTGCAGAGAGATCCACGCGGACACCACTCAGCCGCCGAGCCCATCCCTGGCTGTGCTTCTGTAATTGGGGACAGGGAGAAGAAACAGGAAGGAAGGAACCATAGCGATAGCAGTGGCCAGGATATAGGCGGTATTCTGCCCATTTTACAGACTGAAACTGAGTCATGGTGTTAGTAACCAGCCCGTGGCCTACTAGGATCTGAACCCAGGCAGTCTGGCCCTCAGAATAGGGGCTTCCCCATCAGGAAAATGGGGGTGCTTTTGGGAGGGGGGAGCTGGACAACCAGCAGCTGGAAAGGGACCAGTGTGCAGCAGTCCCCGAATCCCACAGAGGCTGTGGGTATCACTCAGCCTCTGAGTAGCACAGGGCGACTTGGCTACACCTACTTGGAAAGACACCGGGGCCTCAGGAACATCTGTGTGTTTTCACAGAAGAGAGCAAAACAGATGGGGGGTTTCTGACTGAGCTGGAAACAAAATGCCATCAGCAAAGCCCATCTGTCAGGAGGTGCTTGCATAAGCAAGTCAGGGTTGCATCTGGGCCACTGGTTTTCCCAGCCAGCCCCAGTGTGGCCTCAGAGGGCTGATCCTCCGTACTCTCCCAGGCTGGCCCAGGGGTGCCCCTGGCCAAGCTGCACCCCCCAGTTTGGCCTGGGATCCAGGGCCCCAAAGAGTATAGGGACACTCCTCTCTGGCAAAGCTGCTGTGCTGACCCATCACCAGAGGTCACAGACCAGCATTCCCTGCCCACATTTGGCCCACATACTTATTTGGTTGACCCTTACTTGGTTTTTGTTGGTAGTGTTCTTAAGTATTTCTTTATCGACCAGAAGTACATGCAAGCAATTCCAAAGGTAGCCAGTGGTGTACAATGAAAAGTAAGGCTCCTTCCTTCCCCTACTTTCAAGACACATTTAGATCCTGGGGATACAGCGGTATCTCACCACCTCATGGGGTGGGGATCAGGAATAAATAAGAGAAAGAAGTGAGTATATTGAGAAGTACTAAGGAGCAGAGTACAGCAGGAGAGAGGGCTGGGAGTGGGGCAAAGAGACCAACTTCCCCTTCCCATACTGTTAGCAGTTTCTTGAAAATCCTTGTAGAGGTCTTCTCCGCATGGTAGTTGGTTGTCATTGCTGCTGTTGTTTTTGTTTTTCAAACTGGGAAAAGTTGCATACCAGTTCAAGATTTCTGATTTCTACTTAAAAATCCAATGCTCTGGCATCCACATCCCTGCAAAGCTTGGTCGCCGGAGCTGAGGTCCACCTGCCTCTATCGAAAAGCCTCTGCTGGGGCACTGGGATGGCTCAGTCAGTTAGGCGCCTGCCTTGGGCTCAGGTCATGAGCCCACGGTCCTGGGCTCCCTGCTCAGCAGGGTTCTCCCTCTGCCCCTCCCCCCTGCTCATGCTTTCTTGCCCTCAAATAAATAAATAAAATCTTAAAAAAAAAAAAAAAATGCCTCTGTGTCCCACTCACCTGGCCTTGCTCCTGTCTCCCTTAACCAACCTGGCCCTGGGGCCTACCCCTGCCCCCCATTCTCTGCCCCCTCCCCTGTGTGCCTGCCTGCAACATCTTCAGGAAAATGCTGCCTTGGGAGCTAGGAAGAGGAGTGTGCTCTTGCTCCCCACTCCTCCCTTCTGATTCTTTCTTTCTCAGATGTACAGCCTCGCCTCACTGTTTCGCTCCATGAATCTGCTTCATGCTGACCCCTGGTTCTCTCTCTGCCAGCTTGTTCCGTACCTATGGGCATGAGTTAGGAAATGCCCCCCCCACACACACACACACACACGGCCTTCCCCTTCCTCAGAAAGCACCATTAGTCATTGGTGGGCTTCTCTTCATGGGGAAGACTTCATTGAAGAGTGGACATCATGCAAGGGAGCCAGCTTGGTGAAGAACCAACGGAAGCATATCCAGATATCCTGGGGGGGGTTTGGTATGTCAGCAGAATAGAAGAGGGCCAATGTGATGGCAGGGATGGGGAGAGGCCTCAGGGAGACTGGCAGGGGCCAGAGCCTGTGGGGCTTGTGGGTCAGCAGGAGAATTTGGATTTTATTCTAACGCAGTAAGGAGCCACTGGGGAGATGTCAGCAAAGAAGTGACAGGAGCTGATTTACTGGCTCATGGTATCTATTAATCACATAGAGTTCTAGAGACATCCCCTCCCCCAAATCTACCAGTAATCATGGTGACTCATCTGTCATTTTTACTTCCTTTTTGGTGGGGTGGCTGGTCAGGCAGACTGCAGGACAGATAGACAGCAGCCCAGCCTCTACCTGCAGGACTCTAAGGGGGCGGAGGAACATGCTTAATGACACCACAAGGGAAAAGGCAGCCAGATCCTGAAAGTGGAAAACTACATGGTACGAGTGACCTCATTCCTTCCACACGTGAATAGTGTCACAATAAAGGTGATGGGCATGGGGGAGACATTATAGAAGAGACTTATGAAATATACCTGCCAAAGTAGAGTAGGGATCTTGTTTGGATCCTGATTTAAACAAACCAACTCTAAAAGACCACTTTGAGACAATGGGGGAAATGTAATGCAGATATGGGGTATTACATGATATTAAAGAATTCTTGATAATCTAGATGGATGTGATAAAGGTATCGCGGTTAATTTTGAAAGGCCTTAACTGCTACATATATAAGCTTACGTTTTTACAGGTGAAAGGAGCTGACACCTGGGATATATTCTAAAATATTCTGTCAAGTAAAAGTGTAGGAGTGGGTGGGTAGATGAAACAGGAATCAGGAATAGTTAACTGTTGTTGAAGCCGGTGGGGTGCTCACCCTGCTCTTCTCTGCTTTGAGTATGTTTGAAAATTTCCATAACAAACAGGTTTTTTAAATGAGCATTAAGCTGCCACACACAGAAAGTCTTTCTCTGGGAACAGTAACATCACAGCTCACTTTTGCCTTCTCTCCTTTTTCAGCATGGCCGGGAGGAGAGCCCTGCAGCCTGCTGGCCGGCACCCGCATCTGCTGCCTGCTCTGTCCCGCTGAGCCACTCAGACTGGAAACCCCAGGACCGCACCTGCCTCCTGAGGTTGTCCTGGCTCAGTTGTCCACAGCGATGGTGGAGAACTGGACTCCACAGGCTCACAACCTTCCCGTCAGGCTTCAGGGACCAGCATCCTTCATCCTGGGACTGGTGGCCCTGAACAATGGCTGAGGGCCGGGGGACCCCATAAAGTCACTCCACAGCTCACGGGGGCCAGTAGCACTCCAGTGCCCGTGGACTATGACCACCTATCGGCCCATCCCCAATGATGGTGTGGACCTGGCAGCCAGTTGTGGGGCCAGGGGGGCCGACCTCCTCCCCGGGCCACACACAGGGGACTATGCTCCCATGGGATTCTGGGTCCAGAACGGAGGCATGCCCCAGCCCATTGGTGAGAGCCCAGTCAGTGGCACCACCCGCCCCAGTCCCACCACCCCTGCAGTGCCCAAGATGGGGGTGCGCGCAAGAGTGGCCGACTGGCCGCCCAAGCGGGAGGCGCTGAGAGAGCAGAACAACCCAAGCCCCTCACAGGACGCAGACGGCGCGAAGGCCGCAAAGGTGGCCCATTCCATGAGGAGCATACAGAACGGACAGCCCCCCGTCAGTACCGCGGCTTCCTCGGGGCCCAAAGCCTTCCACCGACTCTCCAGGAGAAGGTCCAAAGATGTGGAATTCCAGGACGGGTGGCCCCGGTCCCCTGGCAGGACCTTCCTCCCTCTGCGGCACCGCAGCAGCAGCGAGATCACCCTCAGCGAGTGCGACGTGGAGGAAACGGGCGAGCCTCGGGGGCCCCGGCACACGGGGGCCCTGCCACTCTTCCGGGAGTACGGGAGCACGTCCTCCATCGACGTGCAGGGCGTGCCCGAGCAGAGCTTCTTCGACATTCTCAACGAGTTCCGCAGCGAGCAGCCCGAGGCCGCGGGCCCTCGGAACCTCCGCGCGCTGCTCCAGGCCGACCCCGGCCCCCACGTCCCGGGGGGCAGCGGCGGAGCCAAGGCGGATCCCCGCAACGGCCAGCCCGCCAAGGACAGCCTCCTGGGGCTCCAGCTCGCCAAAGAGAAGGAGAAGGCCCGGAAGAAGCCGGCGCGCGGCCTGGGCGGCGGGGACGCCACGGACTCGTCCATCTTCCGGAAGCTGAGGAGCGGGAAGGCGGACGGCGAGGCGGGCCGGGCACCGGGGGAGGCCGAGGAGGGCCGGAGCCCCCCGGAGGCCGGCCGCCCGTGGGTCTGCCAGAAGAGCTTCGCCCACTTCGACGTGCAGAGCATGCTATTCGACCTCAACGAGGCGGTTGCCAACAGGGTGGCCACGGCGCAGCGGCGCAACACCACCACGGGCGCCTCTGCCGCCTCCGCCACGGCGGCCCTCTCGGCGTCGCGGGCGCACGGCCTGGGCAGCCTGGACACCGCCTTCCCCAGCACGGAGGACCTGAACTGCAAGGAGAACCTAGAGCAGGACCTGGGCGACGACAACAGCAACGACCTGCTGCTCAGCTGCCCGCACTTCCGCAACGAGATCGGCGGCGAGTGCGAGCGCAACGTGAGCTTCTCGCGGGCGGCCGTGGGCTCCCCGGGCGGCGGTGGCAGCGCTGACGGCCGCCCCGCCGAGCCCGCGCTCAGCGCCCACCGCACCAACGCCAGCATCTCGGTGCTGGAGGTGCCCAAGGAGCAGCAGAGGACGCAGAGCCGCCCGCGGCAGTACAGCATCGAGCACGTGGACCTGGGCGCCCGCTACTACCAGGACCACTTCGTGGGCAGAGGTGAAGGGGCGCGGGGGCTGGCGGGCCGCAGCTTGTCCCCGGGGCTCCCGCTGCGCGTGCCTTCCCTGTGTGCCAGGCCCCAAGGATGTAGCAGAGGGAGGGGGGTGAGGATGCAGTGAGCGGAGCCTCATCCAGCGCTTAGCTTGGTGCCTCACACAGGGATGAACTCGCCAAAGCAGGAGACAATGGGCATTATTTAGCATCTGTGTGCTGGGTTCAGCTATGGGCCAGGCACTTTCGAGAGCCTGGGGATACAGTATTGAGCAGCTTAAAACTAAGATCTTGTCTTCCTAGCACTAAAGTGGGGGGAAGACAATAAAACTAGATTAATGTGTGAAATATATAAGGTGTCCTGGGGTGGCAAGCGCTGTGGAGAAAAGTAAAGCACGGGAGAGGGAAATAGTGTCCAGGTCAGGGGCTGCATTTTCAGTGGGGAATGGCCTGGGAGGGCCTCCTAGGTAGGTGCCATTTGAGTACTGGGCTAAAGGACAGAGCTGTGTGGAGATTGGGGACAGTGTTCTGACACAGGGAAGAGCAGGTACAATAGTCCTGAAACACTAAGGAGGAGGAAGGAGGTCAATGTTGCTGGGACAGAGTGAGTGAAGGAGAGTGGAAGGAGCCCACGCAGAGAGGTGATGGGGGCAGATCATGTGGGACTTCGTGGGTCATGGTGATGAGGACTCTTGCCTGCACCCTGAGTGAGATGGAGCCACGAGAGAGTTCTGAGCAGTCGAGGGCCCTGATCCGACTTGGGTGTTCACAGCCTCTGTCTGGGGGACAGACGTGGGGCGATTGGGAAGCAGGGAAACCAGCGGGGAGGCTGCCACACTAGTTCAGGCAGGAGATGATGGATGGACAAGTCTAAGTTGGGAGCCCATGCATGGGGAAGAAGCCGGCAGGTTCTGGATCCCCTTTGAAGGTGGAGCTGTTGATGTTGCGAAGGTGTTAACACCAGGGAGAGATGGGCTTCCTGTGTCACGAGGTTCATCGGTGCCGGTGGGACAGTCGCAGGAGACAGCGTAGCCTAATGCAGAGACTACAAACCCAGGCAGCTAAGGGGCCAGGCAGGGACTGAGCAAAGGGCAGCCCCTGCTCAGCCCCACCTCACTGTTGGCATGCAGGAAAGCCCATTGTTGCCAGCCTTTTCGGTTTTTCTAGATTCTCCTGAAATTAAGTTCATTTTTTTTTTTAATGTGGATTCTCCTCATTTTTGAATGCTGACTGCTGTAGTGATTTGGAATTGCTTATAACTGCCAGTGACAGGCTTTAACGACATAGAAAGTTTATTTCTCCAATATAAAGAAGTCTGGAGGTCAGCAACCCAGGGCTGGTATGGTTTCTCCTTAGCATCAGCGGAATGCCAGCCTTAGTGCATGGCCTCCAGCCCCCAGAGTAGTCTCCTGGCCCAAGATGGCTGCTGCAGTTCCAGCTGTCACATCCACATTTCCAGGCAAAGAAGAAGAGGAAAGGGTAAGGACAAAAAGACCAATCTCCTGTCAGCCCCTTTTAAAGAGCTTTCTCATAAGCCCCATCCAACCACAGCTGCTTATTGACCACTTCTATCTACAAGGTAGGCTGGGAAATACAGGTTTTTAGCTAGACAAATTCCCTCTCTTTTCCTCCCCTATGAGTGGAGGGTTTTTCTTGAAAAGGAGGAGGGGAAGAATAGAATGGGTAGGCAGCTAGTACTCCACAGCAACGAGTTAAAAAAAATTTTTTTTAAACCAGTGTCCTAGTCAAACCTAACAAAACGTCAACTAAGTCATTCCATGGGACTCAGAGCACGTGCAGTCTCTGGAGCTCCATTGTTGCGAGTCAGACAGCCCAGGGTTTGTGGTGTCTGTCACAGCTTATTAGCTATGTGACACATTTCACTCACTGGACTCTGTATCCTCACGTGAGGAATGTTGGGATGATTATAGGAGCATCACACGCCCCAAAACAGAAGCACCCAGAAATTGAAAATAAAAGGATGGGGGGGAAAGTTCCAGGCAGTGGCTAACCGGAAGAAAAGAAACTCGAATAGTTGTGAACCTTTATGCACCTGGCAACCTAGGTTAGGGGATAAGTATTTAAAAATTGACAAGGCTGCAGGGAGAAGTGAACAGATCCACAATAGTGGGAGAAGCTGACACAGTCTCTCTGAAATTGACAGATCTTCTAGTCAAAAAAATAAGGCTGAAGAGGATTTGAATAACCCAATCAAAACCTGATTCTACATTTATACATACATATTTTTGCATATTTACTTATATATTTATTATATATGTATAAATGTAGAATCAGGTTTTCGTTGGGTTATTAATTATATATTATATTATATATATTTATTAATTTTGTACCTAACCAACAGAGAAAATGTTCTTTTCAACTCCCACATTCTTTTCAACTCATGGAAATACCTACATAATTTCAGCACATGGAAATACCTACATAAAAGAGTGCGGTGGGGATCATATAAGATTGTACGTTAAAAGTTCTTCATCGGGCAGGTAGTAAGTACTCATCATGGAGCTTCAAAAAAAAAAAAAAGCCATTTCCTTTCAAAAATGGACTTCTTTGGAGCCCTGGAAGCTTATAAATAAATTACTCATTGGTCATTGTTTATTGAGTGCCTACGGTATGCATTGGTGGAAAATAAAACAACCCGTACAGCTGTTTCAGGAATGAGCTGCTATCTTTGGAGCAGATAATTCTTCTCTTCTCTGACCAGCTGTGGAGATGGTTTAAGCCGGTGCAGGTGCTGGTCTGACCAGTGCCGTTAATGAACACACATTATTTGGGCCTTAGATAAGCCTTTGATTCACTAAGAGCACCTTGTGAGAACAGGAACCATCAGTTATATATTCAGAGCACTGGGATGGGAAGGAATTCCTGGCAGTGGTTAGATGTTGACCTCGTGGACTTGGGTTAAGACCAACTGCTGGTGGGTTATCTACCACAGGCAGGAAGTACTTGGGTTATACATCAGGAAAAAAACGTTTACCTGGAAGGATTATAAAACAGCAACATGGTTAGAGAAAAAGGGGAGACAGCTGTTATTTAGGGAAGAGAAGAGGAGACTTGGTCTGTGATTCAAAGGCTCCATCACTGTAAGGAAAGAGTAGTTTAAGTGTCCTAGCTGTTACAGAAACGTGGCTGGATAAAGGTGATGCCTAGGGGCTTGAATCATGGTCCATTTTCTCTGACAAACATCATGCCCTTGGTTGATAATAGCATTTCTTTTGTGCTTACTTGTGTCCTCGGCCCTGTGCAAAGTGCTTCACACTTATTGACCTATTTAGTTTTGACCACCGTGTCGGGAGGCTGGTCCATCCTTACTGATCCCATTTTACTCACGAGAATGCTGTGGAGCACCTTGGCCTGGGCCGTCCATCCAACCTAGTGGCAGACCCCGGATCTGAGCCCGGCAAGCAGCTCTCTGGAATAGAATCTTCACCACTTCATGGGGCCAATCGGCAGCTAAGCTAACGAACATTTGCAAATCTAGGATAATCATAGCGAGGCTGGGTTGTTACGTGCCAGACACTGCGCTGAGCATTTAATATGTGTAGCTTCATTTCATCCTCACATCCACTCAATGAGTTATGGGTAGTGTCAGGGCCCCCAATTTCTCAGATGAGGGAACTGAGGCTCTGTGACTTGGCAGAGGTGGCACAGTCCGGTCTTGCAGTCGGTCTGTCAGGCATGGCCGTGACCAGGAGGTTTATGTGAGCAGGATCCCACGGGTCACACAAGAACCTGCACCGGGCATGGCATGTCACCCCTCCTTCCAGAGAGCTTACTCTGAACTCCCCGACTCTTCCCTCTCAGAACATGCCAATTACTTTGGTGTGGACGAGAAGCTGGGGCCAGTGGCAGTGAGCATCAAGCGGGAGAAGGTGGAGGACCACAAGGATCACGGGCCGCAGTACCAGTACAGGATCATCTTCCGGACCCGTGAGGTAGGTCGCGTCACCGTCGTTAGCTGCTCACCTCTGCGAGCCCTTAGTCTTTGCCAGGTTCTGCAGGCACGTGCTTCCCCGGCTACATCTCATGTAAGCCAGTAACCTCCTGAGGGCAGTCCTGGTAGTCCCTCCATTTTACAGAAGAGAAAACTTAAGGCTCGAGAAATTCAGTGACTTGTATAGGATCAGTGAATAAGGGGCCAGGCCAGGATTAGAATCTTGGAGAGCCCAAGATTGCTACACGGGCAAGAGATTCACTCTGGTTAGCCTAAGAAATAAAGGGAGAGCCATAAGGGATTCTTTCAGGATCATGAGATGTCCTGCAGAATGGAGAGAATTAAGGCAGCAAGCCCCAGGCAGGGCAGGAATTGGGGGATCTCAGCCACAGCAGACACTGCTGTCAAATGCCCTTCCCCTCACAACACTCCCAGTGCTTTCAAGTCTGAGTAGAGAAACCCGTTGTCCTGGGTTGGTCATAGGTCTTCGCCTAGATTAAATATCAGCTGTGGCCAGGGAACAAGGCCTGCTGGGGGCACCCTGCTCAATTAGGGTGAATTGTAATGGACAGAAATCTAGTTCTAACTGGTTTAAACCAGAAATAGAATTCATTGGTTCATGTAACTGCAAATCTGGGGTAGGGCTAGCTTCAGGCATAGCTGGATCCAGGCATTCAAATGATGTCACCAGAATTCTGCCCTCTGACCGCTCTGCTCCTCTAAAGCTCTGCTGCTTTTCTGCATTGTGAATGTCATTCTCTTTTCTGCCACCAGCAAGCTCTCTCCATGTCATGGGAAAATGAGACTGGCAGCTCAGCTCTTCTGCATCTTTATACGTTCTCCTCCACAGGGGAGACACTTGCTGCCAAATCTGTGGGGAGGACTCTGATTGGCTCTGCTTGGATCACGTGTTCCACTGGGTCTGGGGGCAGGGCAGGACACTGTGATTGACAGTTCAATCAGAGCCACCTGGAGGAGGCATCCGGGGAGTTCTGCCAAAAGAGGGGAGCTGGGCTAGCAAAAACAATAGAGACTTCCAAAAGACGCAAGTAAGGACGACCTTTCCAGAAACGGGGTGGTAGTAATCTGGGCAGGCTCCCCAAAATGGGTCTCCCTCAGCCCTGCCTTTCCCCATCCCCCTTGTTCCTGGCCTTTGCCCAGACGTGGGAACCCAGCAGGCCGCCACCGCCGCCAGGGGCTTTGGGTGTGGGGCCAGCCGAGCCTGGACATCATCCAGCCTGGCAGATGCTGAACCAAGGGCCCTAGCCCCATCCCCTCACGACGACCCTCTCACTGAGGAGGAATGGGATGGCACTGAGGCTTTGTGGCAGTTTAGAGGAGGCAGCCCCCAAATCCTGTGCCCCCAACCACAGGTGGTCACCAGCCCCTCTGCCTCCCAGCCCCTCCCCCCTCTCCTTACCTTTATGGCCAGATGAGCACCAGGGCAGAAGGTGAGGTGACAGCTCACAGTGCTTCAGATTGTGTCGTGACATCCAGGGAACTGCTGGGTGAGATGACAACAATCAAACACTAATAAATAATATTTATTACAATGGCTCTGATGTTGCCGATCTCCTTAATGCTGTGTCACGTATCAGCTTTACCCTTCGTGTATATTCATGCACTTAAACGTCGTGACAGTTCATGGTGGAGGCAGCGTTTGCCCCATTTCTGGAAGACGAAACAGGCCCTGAGAGGTTAAGGGACTTGCCCAAAGCACCCTCTGGAATCCGCTCAGCTGGCTCTGGGATCCCACTGACTCGGCTCAGTCTCCCCTGCAGACCCACTGCTGAGTTATGAACTCACCTTAGTGCTAGTGCTGTGGTGGTGGTGGTTTTTATTAATAAAAGTGGAATACAGAGAATGAATTTTTTAAAAAACCAGCCTGCGTCACACGTACTGGGGCTCCTGAGACTTGGGTGAAGGGATCCTAGGTCGGGGAGTAATATCTTTGCTTTGGTTGCTCTTCAGTAAGTTTGAAACCGGCTTAGTGCTATGCCTGCTTCCAACCACTTCCGAGCCCCAACACCCACAAAACTTGCCTCCAGCCCTCCCCAGGGTGGGGATGAGGCTCTTGAGGCTCAGGGCCACAGGTCTGGGAATCGTTCACTCAGCCCTGCTACCTGCCAGCCCTACGCTGGGCACTGGGAGCGCAGTAGTGAATGAAGCAGCAGAGATGTTCGTGGGACTACACCCTTGTGGGACACATACTTTAGTAAATCATACAGTGTGGTAAGTGATGGCAAGGTAGAAAGTAAAGCAAGGAAGAGATAAGTGGTGAGGGGTGGTTCAGTTTTTTTGGCAGAATGGTCAAGGGAGATCTCACTGGGAAGAGAACATTTGAGTAATGACCTGAAGGAGTTGAGAGAAGGAGCCATGCGGACATCTGGAACAAGAGCATTCCGGGCCGAGGGAACAGCCAGTGTAAAGGTCCTGAGGCAGGACCGTGTCTGGCACGTTGGAGACCTGGTATGGATTCCTAGTTTGACCGCTCACCAGCTGTGAATGTGGGCCCCTGGCTTCTCCTCTCAGAGCCTCTGTTTCCCCCTTGGGAATCCCAGGCTCACAGGAATGTGCTGAGGGCCCCGTGTGGTTACACATACAGGCAGCGCCAGGCCTGGAACTCGGGGAGAGCCCAGTGGAGTTAGGCGGCAGGGGGTCTCCGTCTGCTGTCCCCTTGTCACGTTCCAGGCAGGCCTTTTTCTGCCCCCACAGCCGCAGCCTTGAGCCCGACTCCTTGTGGAGCTGCCCTACTGGGCACTCGGGCCTGAGGACCTCCTCATCTGGGGTTGAAGGGAGGGCAGCGGCCAGCAAGGTTTGCCTCACCTCTTCCTCACGCCCTTCCTGTGGTGGCAGCAGGGCAGACAGTCACGCAACCAGCAGCAGTAATAGCTAACACTCGCAGCCAGACACTGTCCTAAGTGTTGCTTGTGCGTGGAGCCTTCAGATCCTCTCAACAGTCTCATGATGTGCTCCATTGTTCCCATTGTGCAGATGAGGGTGGGAGGTTGAGGCCCAGGGAGATAATCATTTGTCAGGGTCCCCAGTGGCAGAGCTGGGATGTGGACCCAGGCTGCCCGGGGCCTGAGCCCATGCTCTTAACCGCTCGGCACCCTGCCTGTTGGGTCGAGTTTGAATTCTGGCTCTGGGAACACACAGCCCTGGGTTTGGTCCAGCTCGCCCACTCACTGGCCACATGACCTTGGACAGATGGCTTTGCCTCTAGGCTTCTCAGTTTTTTCATCTGTAAATAGGCTTTGTGCTGTTTGCTCCCCATCTCCGGGAGCGGCCGAAGGTTCTCTTGCACCGGCACACGAGGCTGCAGGGCAGTGAGTGCCCTGGCTGTCACTCTCCGAGGACCGTGCTGAGGAGCGAGGGTTGAGCTCATGGGCAAAGTTCTGTCCTCCTGTCCACATGCACAGATCTCAGGCTCCCGTAAACCAAGGTGTGGGGTCCAGAGTGAAGGGCTCAGGCTGTTTTCCAAGCCAGCAGGCCGGCCTGCCCCAGATGGCCACCACTGGCCGCCAAGCAGTCAAGTGGGTCCCCATCTCCCGGCAGATGGGTTGTGAGCATTGGCAGCACTGAGCTTCCCACCAGGGCAGGAACAGACTGGGAGCTGGGCTTTGGCACCTCACACCTGAACAGCACCCCCCCACCCCCCAGCTTGGACAGCATGAGCCCCGGGCCAGGGCTGCCCCGTCCCAAGCCCCTTGCTGGCCTCTCCCTCCCAGTTCACAGGGACCCCCAGCCAGCCAGGGGCAGTCTAGCCTCCTAACCCAATAGGTTCCCCTTAGCCCAGCAAACACAAGTTTTTGACAGGCTTCGGTTTTGTTAGAGTTAGAGGTTTGGATTTGTTTTTTCTTTTTAATTTAACAAGTAACAGTCACTCATTAAGAATTTAAGTATATAAGTGTACAAAGTAGAAAAGGGAGAGTTTCCTGTTAAGTGAAAAAAACAAGGAGCAACAGTGTATTGATTAGGACCTTGTTTGTGTTCAAGAGGTAGCTCTGATTGTGTGTGTTTGTAGAAATAATCTCCAAAGCATATTGTTAAATGGGAAGAAAAGCCCACTGTATCTTCCTGTTAAAGGTTAAATTGAAATTCTTATCTATGCATATGCCTTTGTACAAACACATTTGACACGTGTGTATCCATAATAATGGCTCTTACGTATTGAGCGCTTACTGTATACAATGCTGAGCACTGCACGTGGACTATCTTATTGAATCTTTACAAGCCTTGGAGGTAGGTGCTGTTATCCCCATTTTATAGATGAGGAAACAGGCACAGAGAAGGTTAAGCATCTTGCCAGGGTCACACAGCCAGGGAAAGGGTAGAGTCAGGATTTGAACCCAGGCAGACAGACACCTCAGTGACCTCCCAGGAAACGTTCCTGACAGGTGCACCCACTGCCTGACAGAGAAGGGGATGCGTCTGAGTCAGGAGCCAACATTGAATAACCTGTGCATATCGAAACCTCCCAGCTTACATGGCCTTGAAGTCTTCTTATGGCTCACTTGACTGGTTATCCTCCGTAAGATGATGACGGGTGTCATTGAGGGTGAGATCACGCAGGGCCTTGCAACCTGAGCAGGGTGTATAGATTTTATTTGGAGAGAGATGGGAAGCCACTAGCCCATTCTATGCAGAGGAGAGGCGTGGTCTGACTCAAGCTGCTGCGGGAAAGATGGACCGGGCCCGGGGCGGGGGGTGCGGGGGTGAATTGTGGCGGGAGCAGGGAGACCAGGAGGAGGGCTGTTATCATAGGCCAGGGTAGGTGATGACGGTGGACCGGACCAGGTGGAGGTTAGAGATGGCTGGCCACTCATTGAATCCTGCCAGTGCCCTACTTATTATCCCCAGCAGACAAGGAAAGACTGGGAGCTTTTCAGGCCGTGGCTTTTTGGTTAAGTCTTCAGAGCCAGAATGTAAAGAGGGCCACCTGTCTCTAGTGTGGGAGAAGGAATGAGGTGCAGGACCATGCTTCCCCTTGGGCCCAGCAGAGGGCGCTGCGAGCCAGTGTCAGCAGGATACAAAAACCCTGATCCTGTTAGTGCATTCATTGAAACCCACTGTCCCAGGGCCTCCCAGACCAGCAGGGCAAAGCACCCGTCATCATTGCTTTTCATGATCTATTTCAAGATCATGATAAGAGAGTACTTGTTTATTAATTACTGGGGCCAGAACTGGGAACTCGCAAACACAAGATCATTCCATTCCTTCCGTGCATGCCTCTTGCCCAGGTCCTGTTTGGAAAGGGTGGGCTGTATGCTTAGAGGCGACGTCATGACACATTGTTTTTGCCACCTCCTGTGTCAGCATGTTGACTTAGGGCCAGCATGTTTTTCCAGTTAACACTGATCCTCCTTAGTCTTTAAACCATAGCCTCAAGTGTGTTCTGGGTGCTTGTAACAATCGCCTCAGGAAGGATATTTTTCCTGGTATTGCTGCAGACCCCCCATTGTGCTGCCTTGGGGGGCTGGGGCTGGAGCTGCAGGGCCTGGCCCTGTCCATGGCATCACCTGATGGCCAGCTCACGTTGTGGATAGAAGCCAGAGCTGGTGCAACGGGGACACGAGGCAGCTGGGTTCTCAGGATAAGGGCGTGAATTGGTACAACCACTTGGAAAACTTCGGTAAAATTGAAGATTAACATGCCGGGTGACTCAGCAGTTCCTCTCCTGGGTATAAACCCAAAAGAAAATGTGTTCATGTGCACTACGAGGTGCTTCTGTGAGTGTTCCTAACAGCAGCGCTCATAGTTGTCCCAACACTGGAAGCAGTTTCTGTGCTTAGCGGTAGAATGGATTACATCCGTTCTGGCAAAACATCAGCTCCTCCCAGCAGCGTGGTGGAATCTCATATGCATAGCATTGAGAGGAATAAGCCAGATACAGAAGAATACAAACAGCATGAAGCTCAAAAACAGGCAGAAATAAATTGTGGAGTTAAGAAGTCAGGGTAGGGTTGCCTTTGGGGAGGAGGGGAAGGGATTTGGAGGGCTGGAAATATTTATCTTTTTGATTTGGTGGCGATTACTTAGGTGTTCACTCGGTGATAATTCCTTTAGCTGTGCTTACATATGTTGCGAGCTTTTCTGTATGTGGATTATACTTCCCAGTAAAAAAAAAAAAATTAAAAACCTTCAAAGAAAAAAGTCATGAGTTTTGGAAAAGTGAGGGCTGCATTGGAATCCTGGTTGAGTCACTTAATTTTGGTGACCTTAGAGAAGGCACCTAACCTCTCAGTGCGTCAGTTTTTGTGTTTTTTTTAAGATTTTATTTATTTATTTATCGAGAGAGAGAGCACGCACATATGTGCACACGGGTGAGAGAATCTCCAGCAGGCTCCCTGCTGAGCGCAGAGCCCAACGAGGGGCTTGATCCCACCACCCAGGGATCATGACCTGAACCGAAATCAAGTCAGACACTAAAACTGACTGAGCCAACCAGGTGCCCCAGAGCTTCAGTTTTCTTATCAGTAAAATGGAGCTAACAAAACCTCCCCTGAACAGACCTCTACATTGAATTAGATAATTACTCTTGTACCTGGAATATAGCACCTTCACAAATGTAACTTTGTTACAAAGGTCTGTCAGTTAGAAACTGCTTTTTCTGTAAACCTGAAAACCTGACTAACCATAGCTAAAACAAATAGAGGGTTGCTTTAATTCTCTGAGAAGTCTGGAGGTAGGCAACTGCAGAGATTGACTAATCTCTGGTTTTCTTGTCTCTTTCCTCGTGATCATAAGATTGCTACCACAGCTCCAAACATCTTATCCTCACACCAGCGTCCTTAACAAGAAGAAATGGGCAGGTTGGAAAGGATTTGCTTTAACTAAGCGAAGCAAATGTGCCCAGAAGTCGTTCCCAAGCTGAATGCCCCTCACGTTTCGTTACCTGGAGCTAGTCATGTGGCCAGCTATAGGAAAAACTTGGAAAGCACCATCTGGGAAAGGGGAATGAGATGGCCGCGATTGGCTGACGCAGGTTTTCAGTCCTGGCTACACATCAGAATCCTGAGTGGCATTGAAGAAATTATGTGTGTGCGTGAGTGTGCTCACACGTGCGTAAATACGCAGCTGTATAAATCTGAGTACGTACGTGCACACGTACATACATCCCTGGGCCCCACCACAGACCAACCATGTTATTATGGTACTATGTTTACACATATTGTAACGAAGGCAGAGTGTTCATTGAGTGCTCGCCTTATGGAGCCTGTTTTATTCATTATACTTCTTACTACCTGACATAATCTGTCTCCCCACTTAAATGCCAGTTGGGTGGGGGCAGGGGTCTTTGTTTCATTCACTGCACCCAGAACAGGGCTGTACTTCGGGGGCGCTCAGTTGGTATTTGTTGAACGGACGAAGGTGTGCTCCATCCATTGTCTCAAAATCTCATCAGCTTAGTCCTCCCGGCACCCTTTGGGGCTGTGATGCCGTCACTGTACTCATTTCACGAAAGAGAAGCTGAGACTCGGAGATTTGAAGGCACTTGCTCACAATCACACAGGGAGGAGGCAGCAAGTTCAAGTCCTGGTCCAAACCCAGGGCTGGCCCTGGGGCCCAAGCTTCGGACCATCGCACACGTTGCTCTGAGAACAGGACTCTGTTCCCTTCCTAGGTCCCAAGAGCCTCCTAACCTTCCCTTCTCTCCCTGAAACAGCTCATCACCCTGCGGGGCTCTATCCTGGAGGATGCCACCCCCACCGCCACGAAGCACGGGACAGGGCGGGGCCTACCCCTGAAGGACGCCCTGGAGTATGTCATCCCCGAGCTCAACATCCACTGCCTACGGCTGGCTCTCAACACTCCCAAGGTGACCGAGCAGCTGCTGAAGCTCGACGAGCAAGGGGTGAGCTGCGGGCCAGCGTGGGGGGCCATCGCAATCCATCCTGGTACCTCTTTCTGTCTTGGTCTTTGTTTTTTTCTTTTTTTTTTTTTTTTCCAGAATAGAAACCCACCTAAGCTACTTTCAGTAAAAGGAGGGATCTCTTGTCAAATACTAAGGGTGCCAAGAGCAGGGATGTGACGGGTTCTCAGGAGAAAAATGGTCTGGGGATGAGACAGCCATCGGGGGGGGTGTGTGTGTGTGTGTACTCCCTCCCCCTCTCTGCACGTAGGCTCCCTCTGCCTCTCCGCCCTCCCACAGCTCCTAGAATGACTGCGAGAATGACAGCTACCTGCAGACCCCAGCTGGCTCTCAGTCCCAGGAGAGCCTCTGACTGGCCCACACTTAGGTCAGATGTCTGTCCAGAGTCCCGTCCCCGTGACCAGGGGAGTGAGTGGGACACAGAACAAACTTGGCGATTGGAGGCCCACCCCCTAAAAACAGTGTTGACTGTGCTGAGCCCCGAGCCCTCGAGAATTTCCTTTTGCAGAATCTTAGCCAGTTCCAGGCTACCTGCTACGGGAGCCAGCCAAGGCCACGGTCTCTTACTCTTGAGAGAGCGGCATGGCCCTCTGTAGAGAGAACAGGAGCCCGCTGCACGGACACCTCACTGTGCCTCTCTGAAATGGGAAGGAGGGAGAGAGACAACAGGACGTGCCCCCGCGCCTCTCTCCTTCCTCTCTGGCTGTGGTGCTGGATGGCTGTGGGACCCTGGCAGCTCCCTGGGTGCCACGCCTGAGAAAGCCCCTTTGTTCCGTTCCCTCTGACGTCCCCGCCGGGCCCGCCTCACAGAGCTGCTCTTGCCTCTGCAGCTGTGCCGGAAGCACAAAGTGGGCATCCTCTACTGCAAGGCCGGCCAGAGCTCGGAGGAGGAGATGTACAACAACGAGGAGGCCGGCCCCGCCTTCGAGGAGTTTCTCTCCCTGATCGGGGAGAAGGTCTGCCTGAAGGGCTTCACCAAGTATGCCGCCCAGCTGGATGTCAAGAGTAAGTGGCACGGTGGCCTCGTGGGGGGAGCCGGGTAGATTGCGGGGGGCCACCACCGCACCCCCACCCCAGGGGCGGAAGTCACAGGGCCTGGTGGTAGCGGGGTAAGGACACAGGGCAGTGGGAGCTCTCAGCCCCCGCTGACGGGGACGCGGATAGTGCAACCACTTTGGAAAACAGTAGGGCCTATTCTAGTAAAGTTTGCAGATGCACCTCCTCTGGGAGTCAGCAGTCGCACTCCCAGATGTGTCCTCTGAGAACTCACACACACACACACACACACACACACACACACGTGTGCCGGGAGATGTCCTGAGGGTTCATAACCGCCGGCGCCTAGACGGTGCCCAGCGCGCACAGGCAGAATCGTGGTGTTTTGTGCAGCACAGTGCCGTGTGACAGTGACAGCGATGACAGGAGCCGCAGGCATCAGCCTGGACGAGGGCCGTGTGCTTGATGGTGAACGTGGACAGTGGGCTCACGAGAGCGGGTAGTGAGTGATGCCTTTTACGCAGCAGTTACCTGTAAAGCACACTCGACAGTGTATTGTCTGGGGGGGTTGTTCTTGCGCATTAGAACTCTAAAGAAAAGCAAGGCGGTGATGGACACGACCACGTTCAGGGTAGTGGTTGCCTCCAGGGAGAGGGTGGGTATAATAGAAAACGGTAAGGATCGTGGAGTATCCGTGGTGGTCTGCTTCTTAAGGTGGGTGCGTGACAACACGTTCGTTCGTTCTAGCATTTCTGTGCATACATCTGCATATATGCACATAAGACGTGTACGTGTGACGAATAGGATGGAAGTGTTTCTTGGCAGTTTGGGCGGAATGGAAGAGCGATGTGGCAGTTTGGGGGGATGGAAAAGCAATATTGTGGCAGTTTGGGAGGGATGGAAGAGCAATGTTGTGAAGTCACGTCCTGGCTCCCTGGGGAAAGGACTGACTGCCCCTGGTCCTTGGAGGGGCGCATTGCTGGGTTCATTGCTCAGGCGGAGTCGGCAAGCCCTGTGATGGGGCCCGGGCCTGATCACTGGCTCTTCCCTCGCCTTGCTGAGCCTCACCTTCCTCGTCAGGAAGACGGAGGCCCAGGTGAGGAGACCGAGTTTGGCGAGATGACAGAAGCGTTCGCAGGGGCCTACGGCTGTCGTTCATTCAAGGAGGCGGTGGGAGGAATAAGATCGTTTGTGCCATCGCTGGTTTAGGGATCCTGGACCGGCGGCCTTGCCTCCCTGTGCCTCAGCTTCCTCATCTGTCGAGTGAGGGTCATAGTTGGCGCTTACCTCAGGAGCACAGTGGTGAAGCTAACATACCGAGCCCTCACTCCGTGCCAGACCCCGGGCCTGCCCAGCCTCCCCGAGCTGCCCCGGCGCACAGGAAACCCGCGGCAAGCGTGAGCGTTAGGACTGTGCTTCTGTTGCTCATTCCTTCAGGTGATTCCTTCACCACGAAAGGGGTAGTGCACTCAGAAAAAGGAACAGGACACTTGTTATCCCCCTGCTCCTGAGGCTCAGCACCCTGCCCAAAATGGCGGCCATCACGTTGCCCCCTCCCTTCCCTGAGTTGCTGTGAGGATCAGACGCTGGTGCCGCGCCTTACGGAGAGTCAGCACGCAAGTGCCAACTACTGCCACATGGCTTCTGTGGGAAGTGGATTTTCTCCGGAGACCCCAGGGAGCACAGTGCTCTCGGCCAGTGTCCCGAACTACCAGATAGGGATGCCCCAGGCTCGCGGCCACCCAAAGGTCACCTGGCTCCGGGCCTGGCTCTGGCACCGGCCAGCAGTGGCTTCAGTGCCCTCGCCTGTCCCAGCGTCTCCCCAGAATGTAAGGCCACAAGAACAGGGACTTTGTGGTCAGTTCTACCCCTGTCTCCACAGCACCTTCAGTTAAATAAAGCTTGGTGGCCCTGAGTGCCTGAAAGGGCCAATGAATGGGCCTCCTGGGGTGAACTTGACACCTTGTAGGTCCTTGCAGCATGGTTCGTGGGTTCGCTCCTGCATTCGACAGAAACCTCCCAGCCTTCCTCCCTGGGTGGGAAGGAGCTGTTCAAAATGATACGAGCATACGTGAGGAACCTGATCTTAGGTCCAAGTGGGGAAGGGCCCCTAGAGAACATGGCGTACAGCCTGAGAGGGGTGAGGTGGAATAAAAGAGGCAAAGAGGGAGCAGGAAAAGCATTCCAGGAGAAAGGAACAGCACATGCAAAAGCCCTGAGGTCTAAAAGCTGTCGTCCAGGGAATTAACGTGGAGGATGGAGTGAGGAAGGCAGGCAGGACCCACCCTGCAGGGCCTTCAGGGCCCAAGTTTAGGGATTTAGATCTATTTCCTATAAGGGATGTGAAACCCTTAAGAACCACACCGAGTACTCTTAAGAAAACACCATGGAGTCAGACAGCCTGAGTTCCAGTCCAGACTCCACTGCACCTTGCAGTGTGACCTAAGGCAAGTCACTCCCTCCCGGCGCCTCAGTTTCCCCCTCGGAAACATGGAGCCAATAATCAGATGTGCTCCCTGGTCACAACCCCCTCCCATTGGGGGCAACCAGTGTCCTGACTCTCAGGATTATCATCCATAGTTTTGCTACCTATATATGCATCTCTGGATATAATTGGTTTGGCTTGGTTTTGAACATAATGTGAATGGGATCCTATAGTATGTGCTGCTTTTGTGTCTGGCGTCTTTCATTCAACATTATATATGTGTGATTCACCCATGCGGTGACTACGGCTCATTTCAAGGCTTTGTATTTTTTCACAGTGTGAGTATACCAGTTTGTTTATTCATCTTTTTGAAGGTGCTTGTTACCCATATCCCAGGGCACGTGTATGCGATTTCTCTAGGTTATGATCCTAGGAGAGAAAGTGCTGGGTCGTTAATTAAGCCAATCTTCAGACTTAATCACTAGATATTACTAAGAAGTTTTCCAAAGTGGTTGTACCAATTTACACGCCTAACCAGCCACAGAAAGGGATCCAGTGGCTCTACATTCCCCACCAGTCCTTGCTACGGTCAGACTTTTAAATTTTTACCAGTGTGTTGGGTGTGTAACAGAAGGTTTCCTTTTTACCTAAATTTATTTAATTTTAAAGAGTGAAGTGCAAACATCAAGCTGAAAACTAACGCAGATGGCCTGTGGGACGTGGCACAAACCCAGAGGTTTGGGAAACGTGGTGCTAACTGTGTTTCTGTTGCAGCTGACTCCACGGGCACCCACTCCCTCTACACGACATACCAGGACTACGAGATCATGTTCCACGTCTCCACCCTGCTCCCTTACACCCCGAACAACAGGCAGCAGGTCAGTGGGGCCCAGGGCGGGGGCCCACACATCATTTCCAGTGGATGCACGACTGAACCCCAAGTCACTCTCCTTCCCTGCAGCTGGTAGCTGGCTGCCTGGCAGGCACTGGTTCTCCTACTGTCCCGTGCAGTAGATGGGGGGGCCTGTGGCCTTGGAGACGCTCCGCACCATGGTCACGTCACCTGGGGGATGGAGGCTAGATCAGGGGTTGTTTGATACCAGTGTTTTTCTAGCTGTTCCTTGGACATCCTGCTTGCATCTAGCTACCCAACTTAGCAGTCTCTTGCATCACCAGGGGTCCTGTGAAAAAGAAGAGTGAATCAGTCAACATTATTTCAACAGAAGTAACAGAAACGCAAACCAAACTGCCATAAGGAAAAACTGAGTCTTACTGGGTGGTGTAACTCTCAAGTGCCTGGATAGGGTTGGCTTTAGGTATGGCTGGATACAGGGCCTCAAACAGTGTTAGGAATCCTTTTCATTTCTTATCTTTGCTTTTCTTCATCATGGCCTTCACAGGTCTTCCCAAGTAGTGGCAAAGATGCCCCCTGACAGCCCTCTGCTCACATCCCACCAGGAGAGCCACCCCCGCGGGGAGAGAGCTCTGCCTCCCTGGTGTCCCAGAAACGTTTTGTTGACCAGTCACTTACCAGTCCCTGGGCCGGGGGCAGGGGTGGAACAAGCTGACTGGCCAAGTGTGAAGCACATGCCCACCCCTAGGGAGGGTGAATGGGGTCAGCTCAACAGGAAATGCTGATAAGGGATCAGGGAGGTGCTTTCCCAAAGGGCACAGACATGGCTGCCAGAAGAAGGAGGACAAGGTGACTAGGTGGGCGAGAGCAGCTAACACCTGCTTCATGGGGCTCCTCCCCTGAGCATGCCATGCAGACTCTGTCCTGAGACAACTCTTCCTAGTTTCTAAAGAACAGAAACCCCACAGACTTGTGGTTTAGAAAATGCCTGTTTTTTCCACTGGTACAGATGACATTGTAGATTATATAGACCAAAAATGGTCGGATCGGAGTGATCTCATGAAGTTAACCTGGTAGCATTCTGTAAGAGCATTGGTCTCAAGAGTTGGCCCTGAGTTTGAGTTCTTTCTTTGCCACTTCTTAGCTTTGTGATCCTGCGTCTCTGAGCCTCGGGTCCCTCCTCTGTAAAATGGGTTAGGGGTCTCTGCACAAGGCGGGGCCCAACACCCAGGAGGGGCATAGGAAGCAGTCCCTCATGCTGGGTATTTGGTAGGTGGGGAAAGCTTGGGTTGCAGAGTCAAGCAGAAGTGGATTCAAATCCAGGCTCGCTCTTCCCGTGACTGTTTGACGGAGGGCAAGTCACTTAACCACTGGGAACCTCAGTGTTCTCATCAGTAAAGGGGTAGGATGAGTTCATGCCTCACGAGGTGGTTGTGGTAAGATGAGCTGGCATCTCGGAGACCCGATGGTAAGATGCCTCGCCCGGGCTGGCCACAGCAAATGGGTACTTTATCTAGCAATGTCACCGGTTTAAAGTACACGTAAAGAACAGTTCCGTAGTGTGAGTCGTGCTGCTCAGTGTAAGTGTCTCTGGAATCCACATTCTGGGCCACTTCGTGTAGAGCTACACAGGATGCCCATCTGTGGACCTCATGTTCCCAACATGGATCCCTGACCGTAATAGTCACGCAAAGGCTCAACTCATGTAAATAGGAATGCTGTAATATCAGCAGATAAGTAGAACACTGTGAATACGTCATCACCTGCAAAGGTAACAGTCTCTTGGTCAGAGACTGTGAGAAACAGAAGAGAGAGGACCGGGCTCCAGTGGGCCAGTCTGAAGCCACAGCTGCCCCAGCCTTCCCAACCCAGGTGTCTGGGGCAGGGACGGTGGCGGCAGCCTGGGATCAGCTCTGCAGGGGGTGTCCGGTCTGCCACCGTGGGCTGTGAGCAAGTCCAGCCTATGCGGACCTCCAGTGGATGTTTATTGAGCACCTACTGTGTGCCGACACCGCTCTCAGCACTAAGCACACTGCAGTAGGCAGCAAACAAAACACGTGGGGAGTCTTACCCCGAGTGAGGCAGAACCACCAGAGGGCTCTGAGCAGGGAGAGACATGATCCAACCCAGGTCCATGGCTCCCTCTGGCTGCCTGTGGGGACCACACCGGGGAGGGGTGAGAACACGGGGTGGCAGGGAGGCTGCTGTGAGGGTCCAGGCAGGGCCCTCAAGCCAACCTGTGCCGCCCTCCTTTCTCCCGTTTCCATTTACCAGTTACTAAGGAAGAGGCACATAGGAAACGACATTGTGACGATCATCTTCCAGGAGCCAGGGGCGCTGCCTTTCACCCCCAAGAACATCCGCTCACACTTTCAGCATGTCTTCATCATCGTCCGAGCCCACAACCCTTGCACTGATAATGTCTGCTACAGGTATGCATCCCTGCACCGGCTCCCCCCACCCCTGCCCCCTCCCCTGCACACACTGGAAGTCGCAGCAGCGGATCTCCAGCCTCCGGGCAGCGTGCAGAGAGACAGCCAGCAGCCAGCCCAGCAGATGCCTCTGGTGCCGCCTGTGTGTATTTCACACCCGCACATGTCCTCACGTCCCTACACCTTCTAAGAGAGTGATCCTCAGTCAGCAGCATGGCACCCCAGTTTTCATCGGGGATTCGTATTTGCCTGACATCTTTCGGTTGCAAGTGACCAGAACCCCACCTCGATCTGGCTTAAGGCAGACAGGCATTTGTATATATCTGCTCTCCCAAATGACAGGTTCGAGCGTAGCTCGATCTGCTCCACTTTCCTATACGTTGCTTCGTTTACTGGCACCTCTAAGCTTAACATCCTCCCAGCTGCAAATCCAGCAAAAGGAGGGCTTTGCTTTCCTGGGAAGAGAAGCTCCAGAATTGAGGCTCACTGACCTGGTTGGGGGGTGAGGAGCCCATAGTGGAGCGAAACCACCACCAGGCCCAGGGTTGGGGTGGGGGGCACAGGGGCTGAGGCACAGGATGGCCGGAAGGAGAATCAGAAGATGGAAGGATGGGGGCAGGGCAGACACGCACACACATGCACCACTCTGGATATAGAGCTGAGGTTTCAGTTCACAGATCAACAGGCTCCACAGGCCTCAGACTTCAGCATCCTCCCTCCCTGAGGGCCAGGTCTCACCCCAGTGAGTGGCCAGCAGCCAGAGGCCAAATGGAAAGCTGTCTGTGTGTGGGGTGAGGATGTAGTCCTTGGAAATCAGCTGACGGATGACCTAGGCCCGGGCCAAGACACCCGTGTGCCCACCACCAGATTTAACAGATGTTAACATGTCCCTGGAGCAGCACCACAGACTCTGGGGAATGGGCTGAGAACGGTTTGAAATTCAAAAGATACAAAAAGAAAAAAAAAAAAGTCACAGTCTCCTCCCACCCCTGCCCCACTCCCCACCACCCAGTTGCCCTGTTAGCGGTTTCTTGTGCATCCAGAAATTTCATACATATGCAGGTAACTACTTCTAAGTATTCGGTTTCCTCTTGTTAATACACACGGAGCGTGTCCCGCACGGTCACCGATCCTTGAGATCTCCAAACCAGTACATTAAGTGCTTTTTTATTCCTTATGACCGCATGACATTCCATCGTGTGGATGCACGAGACTCTTCTCCCCTCGATGGGCATTTGGGTTGTCCTGTCCCCCACTGTTCCACTCCATCCTGCAGTGAATAATCTTATTTCTGCTCTGATTGCACGTGCGTCCACGTACACAGCTGGGAAAATTCCTGAAAACAGGGTTCCTGGGTCAAAGGGTATGTGCGTAGGTGCACTGGTGGTCCTGGTGGAATTGCCAGAACCTACCATTTTCCTGTCGGTGAGGTGAAGCAGAGAAGGGAGGAGGGTTCCACCACAGTGCAGCGCATGCGGTTCCTCGTTCCTAGGACACGGAGCGGCCGCCGCAAGTGCCTGCGTCTCGCGGCTGGGTGAGCTTGCAGGATGTCCCACGTTCCTCGCATCAGAGGCAGGGCTTGAGCTGGGGGCGTGGGGTGGGCCCCCTCCTTCTCTGCTCCTGCCTGGGCTGTCACAGCAACCCATTGCCGACCCCCCTGCCTCTCCAGGCCAGCCTTTGGCCTCCAGGATGCTGGCTTTGTTCTGATTCACAAACCGTGGTTTTTTTCTGTTTTTTTGTTTGTTTGTTTGTTTGAAGATTATTTATTTGAGAGATTGAGCAAGCACCCCACGCAAGCAGGTGGGGAGGGGCAGAGGGAGAGAATCAATCTCAAGCAGACACCCTGCTGCTCGCAGAGCCCATTGCGGGGCTCAATCTCACGACCCTGAGATCATGACCTCAGCCGAAATGAAGACTGCGCCACCGAGGCGCCCCTAAACCCTTCTTGTTTTTTACTATTTAATTTAAAATATTTTTATTATGCAATATTTTAATCGTTCTGAAAAGCACAGAAAATAATATAACAGACACCCATGTGCCCACCACCAGATATAACAGATGTTAACATTTTGCCATATTTGCTTCAGCTCTCTTTTCTTTATTTTTTTTTATTTTTTTAAAGTTTGTTTTTTGTTTTTTTGTTTTTTGTTTTTGACAGAGAGATAGCGAGAGCAGGAACACAAGCAGGGGGAGTGGAAGAGGGAGAAGCAGGCTTCCCGCTGAGCAGGGAGCCCGATGTGGG